CCAGATATTTCAGCAGATACTATAAATCAGAGGAGACCTTCATTGTAAGGACATTACTCCTTCATCCATTTAACCTCTATGTTCCTCAAACCGCCTTAATTTGGATACGACAAGTGAAACTCAGAAGCAAGTTGGTGACTTTTGATATTGCAGTTACATATATGAAGTTATAATTTATTATATACTGTTGTAATTGTGCTAAAAATATTCGTAGAGTTTCCTATATTATGACCACTACAACGCGACAGGACAAAGCTCATGTGGTAATGTTGGGAGTGCATCCTACATAGACAGTGCCATAAACGGAACACGGAATCCAATTTGGTGTCATTTCACTTTGAAAACAAGTTAGTTCACAGAAATATTTGCATTCAGGATCCCCCTTCCTTCATAACCCTGAGACCGCGAAAGAACAGAACATTCATATTGTGCAGCTGTAGGCACACATAGCTATAGTCCTTACCTTTGTATTTTAATTCAGATATATTTTATTTCCAGCTGTCTAATAATACTTGTCATAATTGCTTAAACTGTCCATCACGCACCACACAATAATCCGTCTTAAAGGGAAGGTCGTTAGTGGAAACCGCTGGGCATAATTACGTGTTTATAAAATAAATTCCACACAGTAAAACATAATAAGATGTTTGGCATTAAAGCACTTACATACTTACTTACTCACTCATGGAGCTGAGCCCTTCTGGAAGAGTTGCAATTCTGCAGCTACTCAAGAATTTCCCAGCGTTTTATGGAACCCGAAGGTTCATTGCCGTGTTCACTAGAGCCTTCCACTGGTCCCTATCCTGAGCCAGATCAATGCAATCCATACCATCCCATTCTACCTCTCTAAGATCCAGTCTAATATTGTTCACCCAACTACGCCTTGGTCTTCCCTGTGGTCTATTATTTTCTGACTTTCCCACCAATATACTATACGCTTTCCTCGTCTCTTCCATTCGTGCTACATGACCTGCCAACCTCATCCTCCTTGACTTGATCATTTTAATTACACTTTAATTACACAGCTCCTCATTATGCAGTTTTCTCCAACCTCCTGTCACTTCATCTCTCTTCGGTCCAAATATTCTCCTCAACACCCTGTTCTCAAACACAGTCTACGTTCCTCCCTTAATGTCAGAGACCAAGTTTCACACCCATACAGAAACTTAAAGCACAAATTATGAATTCTTTTTTTATTTATTTATTTTATGATATTCCAGCATTTCAGACTGAATGACTGGATTATTGGTGAATAATTATAACATAAAGGTAGGTAACAGATGCATTGAAAAGGTATCAGAGTTCAGATATTTGGGAAGGACGATAACAAATCAAAACCTGATTGAGGAGGAAATTTGTGTTTCGGGAGTAACATCGTTGTCGCTTATGCATGTAAATTGAACGCTGCATAAGGTCACTATCAAATACGTTCACACGTTCTGACAGAGACAGGTCATCGTTGTCATCATCACCATCACCAGCAGTAGCAGCAAAATTGATGGTTTCGGTGCTTTTCTATCGCCCCGTTTCAATTCACAGGCGACGAAAGCAATTTAGGATTACTGTATCAGCAACACACCTCCAAGCTTGGTCAGGACACCGAAATGCATGTAGCAGAGTTACGGCGTGATCTTGCTTATTGTAGAGCTGTATCATACAAATGCTACATTCCAGTCTCCTGATCACGCTTCGGTCGATTAGTTGTGAGACGTTCGTGATGTCTGCTGAATGGAACGCAAATTTAATAGTGTGCAGGATCTTAAGCTCGGGATGTAGCAGACAGCTCTCTATAAACAACAAAATTTTTCAATTCTGCCTTCCCATTTGCCTGTCCCAAAGCTGCAACTCACTTTCAAAGAGATCAGTGATCATCCGTGATTTTTTTATTGGAGCTGTAACAAACTGGTAGGCATTTATATTCTTGGGACCCTGAGGAATTTCTGATTTCGCAATAGCAAACAATTTTCACTTTTCTCTTCCATTAGAAGTAGGACGCACAGAAACGGTAATTCGGTCTTTAGACAGCTTCCCACGAGCGCATTCCTGTCCTTCCAGTTTCAATGCCTGGTCCTGAGCTAACCTGAAGAAACCAAGCGATGGAGATGTTACTTAAATGACCCTCTGACAGGTGGACTGGTGTTTCCGTGAAGGAACTGGCAACACTACAAATGGCATACACGCTCCATGGTGATCACTTAAATCGATATAATTGTCATTCTTATTCTTCTTATCATCTCTATTATTATGGATAGCTCCGTAGGTACGGACTGGACTTGGTCTCGATTCCCGTCAGGGGCAGCAGGTTCCAGATCGGCTCTGGGCCCCACACAGCCTCATAAAAAATGGGTATTGGGGGGACTCTTTCCTTGGGTGTAAAACGACCAGGCCGTGAAGCTGATCGCTCACCCCCACCCAGTGCAAAGTTGAAGAAAGTTGAAGCAATATCTGCACTGCTCCATACCTCTTCATGGCGTTATGCTTAACTAATTAAGCACAGGAACAAATTTACCCCCTTTCAGTCTTATGTAATATGCAGGGGTACATGGTTGCGTTCCGGTTCTGAACAAGCTTTAAGAACGAAGATGTGGACTACCTTCTTCCGGGATGTGTCGATGGTAGATGGTTACTGACGTTTCGGAAGAATGTGCTGCCTCAATCCTCGCTCTTTGAACCTAAATTTGGACACAGGACGTTTCTGCAAAACGATTGGTAACGATACACCATACTACACCGTGTTTTATCACCCAAATTTGTAATGATCATGAGGACTTAGATCTCGCAATTATAGAAAACGTTTGTATGTTCAAGGTTCCTATTTCCATTTTAAGTGCGCAGTCGGTTACTTTGTCACAGGCTTCTTGTGGGTTTCTTAACTGCCTAACTCACTTTCCATATGATTACTTTTACTGTTTATAATAATAATTATAGCGATTATAATCGGTGAAAGTAATATTACGGAAACTAGGTTAGGCAGTTAAGAAACCGATAAGCTTGTCAAACTTGGAACAATGCAATTTCTTATTATGTACAAGCGGCAATGCCTCTGATCCAGAAAACGAGCATGGGACAGGGACATCAGCAGACAATGAGAATGGCGAAGTAGAGTGACGTTAAGTAATTGAAAATGTGGTAACAATTGTGGTTCTATCAACGTCACGACCCCACCGAGACAAACAATATTACGAGTTGAAATATGAAAACATGACGACTGCAGGGCAAGTGCACGACTGTGAAGGTAATAATAACAAGGACTTGGAAGCAGAATTAAAGAATTCCACTTACCTGTAGCAGACTGCAGTCTTACGAATCTTGTGTTACAAATGCCTCCTTCAGGAGATATAACCTCATGACATGCCGAGCTGAACAAATGAGCAAGTTATAATGAATCGAGTTCCAGTAGAGTCATATTCTTCTATTGACTACAGTTGTAAATATATAACACGTTATTATTACGAGATATTATTATTATTGTTGTTGTTGTTGTTGTTTTTGAGAAAGGAACCTATTACTGTAATTTCGTTAAATTTGATGGACATAACCTCAACATTTCATGCCGTTTCCATGTATGTAATTACTGTATTGATCTACGAACAATACTTGGAACAAAATATGCAGATATGTGTATGATGGCTCAAATGCGAACTCCGGTGGTTCATCGGTTAACGCAACCGAACTGAAAGCGAAATGTGGTGTACATTTCAGGCAGCCACCGTACTTTCTTCCATATTAAAAAACAATTGAACAGTAAAAGTCAAATATATTTCGAAGTTCTAGTACCATGAATATCCTCAAAACTCAATACTGGAAGGCAGTCGTCACGTTCATGTGTCCGCCATGTTATTCTTAGAAAAGGTAGGCTCCTCGAAGTTACAATGTTCGAGTGGTCTTTACTAGCATAATGTTCCTATAGAATTTCGTAAAAGCTGTTCAGACCTTCGTAGGCCGTCATGTTCTGTAGAATGAAAATCTTCCAAATTTTCCTGGAAAGTTCAAGCACACTGCACTAATTCTTACCGGTTCCCTCCTGGTCTGCGCCAACCTGCTCGGCTGGAAGATTTTGTGTGGTAACGAAATATATATAGCTAGGCTCACTGTGTGGGGTCTTTCGGCAGAAATTGATTACCGGTCTAAAGATCTTGAGCTTCGCAGTAACGCCTGTATGGAGCAGCCTCCGTAGTCTAGGGGTAACGTTCCCACCTCATGACTCAAAGTATGCGGGTTCAAACCCGGCGGAGGTCGTGGAATTTTTAAGGGCGGAAAAATTCAGGGAACAAGTCCTCCGGGAGGGACTTTAAGCCGTGGGTCCCGTGTCGTAGCTTTACAGCACGTAAAAGAACCTCACGTCTCAAGGAGACCTCTGAGCCAAATTTGTTAGGACATTTCCCGCCCAACAATAGTCTCTAATGCCTCTAGTAGATGGGGGAAGCATCTAGATACCGCTGAGCCAGTAGAGGCCGAACTCGCTGGCTGAGTCGGGACTGATGGCACGCACCAGTACCGGTAGGGTATAGGGACTGGTAGAATATCACAGGGGGACGTACAATAGATCAAACTGGTCGCGGTGCATGGGGAAACCCACCCCTCCAATAATAATAATAATAATAATAATAATAATAATAATAATAATAATAATGCGTGTATGGATCCCAAAGGCTCACTGCCCCCTTCATAAGTCCTGTATCTATATGTTGTCCTAAAGTAGCCGAATTCAGAACCGTGAAAGCAAAAATTGAGTCGAAAATTGTTCCGTAAACGCCTGTGTATTTTACAGAATATTATTTTGTAATGTGTGCCTATCCGAAGAGTACTTCGTGTTCTGGAAGTTCCACGTTGGATTAATATCTATCATGAAGAAGATTCTTCTCGATTTTCTCACTTACTGCATACAGATTCCTCCAAAACTTATGTATCAAACACGTCATGGCCGCTTCCTCCTTATTTAATGCTCATACAGTTATTCGACCCAATGTTCTCTCTTACCTATATTCTCATTGTTTCAGGGTATGGCAGCGTGGCACCTCGAACGCCGTGGGGTAAAGTTATTACCATCATATATGCACTGATCGGCATCCCTCTGATGCTGGTTTACCTCTCCACAGTAGGCGACGTCTTGGCTCGCAATTTCCGGCGTCTCTACGGCCGTGTATGCGGTAACGGTGGCAGTACTGGAGGTTGCAACGGGCGCAACAACTCAAAGAATTCGTCCGGACCAGGAGGCAAGAGTAAGATTTCCGGACCTGAGAGCTATCTGAGCACCGGCTACACCCCTTCTGGGGCCACCAAGGCCCATAACAGCATCACGGCAGACGGCTCTGCCATCAAAATGCACCAGTACCACCCGCATGCCACCCCGGGTGCTGACCATGGGGACAATATGCAGGCAAAGTTGGATCGGAGTGGTAGTGCCGTGGTCCTGGACTGCGGAGGCGATGGCATCGGCGCGTCCTCAGTGTCATCGTCCACGGCTCTGCACCCAGGAGGGAAGCGGCACCGTCACTGCGACGCTGAATTTATCAGAGTTCCCATATCGCTCTGTCTGCTCATCATTCTTATGTACATCTGCGGGGGCGCTTTTCTTTTCAACAGACTAGAAAACTGGACATTTCTGGAGGGATCCTACTTCTGTTTTACAAGTTTAGGGACGATAGGCTTCGGAGACTTGATTCCAGGCTTGTATCATAGTTATCAGGTACAATACCACTCTTCAACATTGCATTCGTCGGCAGAACAACTCTCGGTGTTTGCATCGTCAGCATACATTCTGGTTGGCATGGCGCTCATAGCGATGTGCTTCAACCTCGTCCAGGATGAAGTGGTGATCATAGTGCGGAAACTAGGGCAATATTTCGGTGTCGCAGGTAGTAGTATGGCGGGGCCCTCCAACTCGAGAGGAGGGGATGCCAATGACGAGGATATCATGGTAGACGTAGTCGAGGGGGAAGGGATAGCAATGGCTGTGGTGTCGTCATCCGCCACATCATCTTGACATAGGCCGAGTGACGCAGTAGGGCATGGAATTGGTGATCGTGACCCAGTGCCGCCTTCAGGACCCGCCAAGATACAGCCGTCTCAGAAGAACCTGAAACCATCGTTGGTACAGTACCCACAGCATCATCACAGTCTCCCTAGAAGGAAAGGGGATGCTGGAGCAGCTGCCAGTATTGCTCGGAGAGAAGCACAGAGGAGCCAACGCGGCTGTCGCGGTGGCGCGACTTCCGACTCCGGAGAACCTCTAGTGGAATACTTCGTGCCGCGAAGTGTGAGTGAGTTTAACCTAGCTGGTGTGGTAAGTGACATAATGGTGGTTCCGCCTCCTCCGTCCTCCGTTATCCGGCCGTCTTCAGCAGCGTCGGTGCTCAGGTCCTCTTCCAGGGATACTGCCGCAGGTGGCGCGAGGTCTAGGGAGAAGATGGTGACGTTTGAGGACGACCCGATAATACAAAGCGGCACGCAACTGGTAAACAGGAAATCAGGAGTCGGGGTCGGCCAGGCTCTCGAGGACGTGTTCATGTGACGAACTCCCGGAACCTCTTGAAGAAGCTGCTCACCAATATTTATTCTCTATAACCACTCAACTTTTGAGAAAACGGGTGTAACCATTACTGAAACAGTACCTTCATGTATTATTTCCGGTTGTTACCAAAGCAATTATTTTGGACATATTAGCACAAGGAAATGCAGGAGAAAGATGGAGTCAAGAAACCTTTTTTCTAGAAGTTAATGGTATAATATCTGAACTAAAAATTTAACATTTTTGCCCCTGTTCACACTAGCTTGTTATATCTTGCATTTCCTGTCATATTAATGATATGTTTAGTGTGCTTTACAACGGTTATAAAATGAGGCATAACATTTTGGCTAGGAAAACGAACGGCTATGTGGAATTACGGAAACCGGTACAGACTTCCTGAAACCTTTGCTTATGTTCCATGAAAACAGAATGACTTACTTGTCTGTTGAACAAAAGAAATATTTTGGAGACTGTAGAACAGTGGAGCTGCTATGTACTAATATCTTTTGTTTTTCACCATTCAGTTGCTGTGGACATTTGGATAAATTAACTAAATTAACGACAGAAAATATGTTGATATTGTTAATGCCATTAACTAATGTAGGCCTAAATGCCTACTCGTGATTATGATACACGTTTGAAAATACTGCCATCTGATATTAAATAGAATATTACTTGCACGAAACTCAATCATAAAAAATGTGTAAGCTGTGTCGTTCTTTTGTATTAATTTGCATTACAAAGCGTTCCGGCGCCCTTCCTTCCATTGCACTACAGTGAAGCTGAGAAGAAAGTATCTTCAAAGAAAAACCATGCGTATTAGAATTGGTACAAAGAAGTGATATGTATGTATAAACGTCTGACCACAAGGTGGTTAGACTAACAATAAAACAATATAACAATGGGAAAGCTATGGGGGTGATAGAAGGAGGATATTTTTCCGAAAGTGGAAGAGAAAAAGGTTTTAGTGTTAAGTTTGTTTGATGTGTAATTCTGTATCTCAGTATCCTGTTGCACATCTTTAATCAAACATCTATGTATCAAGTCCGTCAACAATGCAACAATCATTACCATATTCACCATTTAACACTAACACAAAATGTTTCTTCCACAGACGGCCATCCTCAGGCGTTTCAATGAGTCCAGACTGTTACACTGCTTTGATGCGCGTTAAAATTTCGCGTTGCAGTCCACTTAAAATAACAAATAATTACTCAAAATTCATTAAACAATTTTTTTCTATTAAAATTTTTCTTAAAATCCTAATCCACCCCATAAAGAAAGTTGTCCACTTGTTTAAAACTATGTGATATTCCAGAAAGTTTGTTTCAACAAACCAAACAGCTCATGCCACCCACACGAACGCAAGCCATTCGACATCAACTATTTAGTAAATTAATTGTATACATATTCAATAACATGAAAAGAAAAGAACGCAGAAATGAACACCATTCAAAAGATACTACGTAATAATGATTACGACATAAACTTAGTTAGGAACTTCCCCCCCCCGTCCAAAAGAAACAAAGGCAAAATACACCTGCCGATTCACAGCTACAAAAACGAAGTGGGTTGCCATCACGTACAGCGGTAAAGAAGTGAGAGCAATCACAAAACTTTTTCGAGACACAGAAATAAAAGTGGCCTTCAGTACGCGGAACACAATACAGAACATATTGAAGCTCAGCCGCAAATAGATAAATGCAGTAGAAGTGGAATTAATGAAATGAAATGCCTAATTGCCCTTTAAAGTATGTCCGAGAAACAGGAAGAACATTCAACACCAGATACAAAGAACACAGTCAAGACATAAAAAGTAGCAGTAGTAACTCCGGATATTCAAGTCACATATTGAACACTGGACACACATACGGCACAATAACAGATACCATATAAATTAAAACAAGGGGGAGGAAAGGAAAATATTTCGATATACTCGAGAAATACGTATCATATTTAGAAAACAAATAAAGAAAATTTACGAATGAACGAAACTAATATCGACGTAAACACAATCCTATATTTGAAGAATTATACAAAAATTACACAACATAACACTACACCCTCCCCCACCTCTCCCCACTCCTCACAACCAGGACGTACAAATACGGGAACAAACACACCGCGTCTGCACTAGTGAAGACAACACCACACGCTGCTAGATGGAACAACACAGAAGAAAGGGGCATGTGAGTATAAAGCAACTCAACATAACACAACATAAATAATAACAATCAGAAAATAATAATATGTGGCATTTTGTAGATTACATATTGCAGACTTAGCAAAAGAACGGGCTAACGAAACAGAAAGACAACCTGCCGAAGCAAACTTTCTGGAATATCACATAGCTTTAAACAAGTGGATGACTCCCCTTATGAGGTGGAATAGGATTTTACGAAAGATTTTAATAGAAAAAATTGTTTAATGAATTTTAAGTAATTATTTATATTATTTTAAGTGAACTGCAACGCGAAATTTTAGCGCGCATGAAAGCAGTGTAACAGTTTGGACCCATTGAAATACCTGAGGATAGCCGTCTGTGGCCTAAACATGTTGTGTTAGTGATAAACAGTGAATATAGTAATGATTGTTGCATTATTGAAGGACTTGAAACATAGATGTTTGTTTGGTTTATTAAACCATCGTTAATACTTAGCAGAACGCTAATGTTGCTGTAATCTCTGACGGTAGGTGAATATATTTTTCAGAAGAAAAAAGCTATCGAGGGCAACTCGCTGTTCATAAGTTTCTAAAATCAGTGCTACATCCTTTTGAACCACATATTTTGGTTTCGCAGCTACTTACCCTGGAAACAGTGATATGCAGCAGTGTCGGTGCAAGGGTATCAATTTGAATCTCCGATTTCTTTTTACAATTGGCCAATCGTGTACATGTAAAATTCAGTTAAAATATTCTACTGATTTTATTCAAAGCCTTTAATACTTCATAGAGTAAATAATATCGTTTTATTTAATAGTACAGACACAAGTTAAAATTATTCATTTATTGTATCAAATGTAGTGAATTTGCATTCGAAGAATATGGTATCCTAACTCTCTGCCTTAGAAACAGTGAGTAATTTTTACAGAAAGAGTTTATTATCTGTCAGTAAGAGAAATGAATGACTGAATTGGTTTTTTGTATTTTTTATCAGTAATCTGTCAGATGACAGGTCCACAGTCTCTCCCAAAACAGTTTCTCCACTTAATGCGATCTAAAGATTTCTCCTTCAAATGAGAATATCCTCTTCTGTCCCCAAGGTCATCCAGCATCTTCTTACGTCTTCTGCTTCGCATACATGGTGTCTCTGTGTTTGGAAAGAGACTATCCAGGAAAAGTGATAATGTGGTAGTTTTTCCATTTGCTTTCCACATCGCAGTACAGCAGCCGTTCAAACCACTCTGGTCACGCCTGTTGCTATACGAACTTGAACCATCTCGAGCATCATTTGCTCTGTGCTTCAAGTCGCTACTGATGACGCTGCTTCCGGCATCAGTTTTTGGTTTTTGGTGTCCCTCTTCGTCTGATGCCTACCCTTTGACCTGTCCAGCAAAGGAGGCCCTGCCAGTAGTTACGCTACCGCTGGTATAGCTCTCAGGGTCCTTGGCATACTCAAACCCCCTCACCACGATAAGGTGGAGGCACCAACGAGAGGGGAATTGGTTTATCGGGCAATTTAGTGTTCTGAGTTTCAATGAATCTTGGACAGAATTCCACAGCAGTCTATGCTGAATGATATTTTGATCAAATTCCTGTTGCGGAAACATATATTGTTCACTCCGCCACAGTTCTCTACATAGAAATTTGTTTGTCGTTTCTGGTCATCACACACGGTGCTACATCTGTATGAATACAGATGACACATGAATGTTAAAGCAAAAAATGCTCGAAGATCGGCAAAGAATTACACGAGAGTTGAGGCTTGTCAACATCACATACGAAAGAACGTTCTTCATTAGAGTTAGGTTATTTCATTCTTCCATGAATTGTGAGTCCAGATCCTTCTCTGTGCACTGTTTTCCATTTACTTTAAATATCACAATGAATATACAGAAATATTTTTGCCCTTCTCTTGACTATCCGAAGGCAATGGAAGTGACACTAGTAACTCATTGATATTTCTATAATTTGAAGTAATTGTTTGTAAAAATGAAATGGCGTATATCAGGAACTCACACACTTTTATCTAACTTCCTTTCAATTATCCTACACTTCTGTAATCGGTTTCATTAAGGATATTGTCGTGACTAATAATAATGGGTTCTGGATTTATTGATTGGGTTTATTTGCACTTCTTTGCAATTACAGTCAATTATAACAGCTCACATATTGAACTCCTTCTGAACGACGTGTGTCTGACAAATATATATGAAGAATCTCAGACTGGTCTCTGTGGAATCTCTTACGAATTTCTCTCGAATGAAAAACTCCTGGACTGCACTAATTTCCATGCGGACCGAATATAGTAGGTCACCAAGTCGGACATTTCGCTCATTCTCTTATTTGTTTTGTCCTTTGCTACGAAACATAGCATTCTGTAACTAAGCAACGGATATTCTACTGTTGACTGTGTTACCTTGGGAACGTGTTTACAGAATTGTTCCTCAGTAATGTACGTCCTCTCCGGCTCCACTATTCCGGCTTTCAGCCGTCATGTGACATTATGTTTTAGTATTCCTTTACTGTTGTTCATTGCTTCAGTCAAATTTTGTAAAAGAAGACATAATGCTTCATGAGATGTAGATAAGGCGGAAGAGCTGACAATGTTCGTGATCAATGCACATATAATGCAGTTGTCTTTGAGGTCTTTAATTTGCTGAAATAAACGAAAATAACCCTTTTCAGAATTACACTTTATAGCAAGATAGGAAAGAGAAACAAATATGCGTATTTGGGCAGCAGCAATATTTACAATTTTTTTTTATCGAAGCACCTTTGTTTTCATAGTGTGGCCAAATCAAATTCTTATTCATTATCTACAGGAAAATGAACAAGTCACAGCCATAATTGCATGTAATTCTAATATGACGATACTAAAGATCAGATTATGAATTCACATGAAATAACTGCTTATACGTTCATGTACGCAGTTTATGTTTACATTGCCAAAGGCAAAATCTAATATCTAAAATAAACCGAGACCAAGCATCTGTAATTGAACTAAGTTATTTTTCTGAATCCTCTACGCAATTGAGAAACATGTCTATAGTGATTTTGTTGACCAACTATTATCTCTATTAGAGCACAAATAAGAATATACGATTAAACAGAATATAAGAACGGAAATAATAAATTGAACATGAAGTACTTAATACCCACACCGACGCGAAAACTATTGTCATTTGTGTGAGTGAATATCACGAAATTCACTTCTCTGAATGCGCCTATTCTTCACTTCTCTGTGACACTTGTTTATTCACTTTTGTAAGAATTATTCAGTTCAGTCCAGTTCGTGTTTATTTACGTGTAAACTTGACAGCAAAGTGGCCAATTACAAAGTTAGCACGAGTACACAGAAATAAACAAAAATAATTAAAGAGCAGAATACAAAATATGACAGTCCATATAATAGCAATAAATTAATAACAATTCCAAGAAAATTAAAGTTAGCTTTAACAGGAGTGAAAAATAAAATAAGTAATAATTACATTTCCAATAGTTATGCCATTTGTG